ATTAAAAAAAATTTACATATACCAATCAATATATGACATTAATTAGTTTTGATTTTCTTAGAATGTCACACACCCCAATGGAAGACAGAAAATTACTCTCATTGCAAGATCCCCTATCCAGTAAAAATCATTGTTTTTATCTGTTCCATCTGCTTGTCCAGTCATTAATGGTGTAAGCCATCCACAATCATAAAAATGGTGCAATCCTCACAACTAATTCAAAAATATGATATAAATCAGGTACCTCATAATTGATAATTACATCTTCCAATCTTTGAGCAAGACATTGACAAAGCATCCTAGTACCAAATCCTTCCTCACCAGTCCTCAATGACCAACCATTTTCAAAACTGACATGAAAAACCCAAGCATCAGCTATCTTTGTTCTTAGTTCTGTATGTTCTTGTAATAATGAATTCAAAACAGACTTATGAAACTCATTTGCATTTCACAATTTACCACTACCAGCTCCAGCTAGAAATAAATAGGTTGGCATATGAACTTTGTCCCATTGATTTTCACAGTAATGTTTGTTGTAATGGTCAAGAACTTCTCTTGCAAGAATTGTTTGTAAATCATCATTCAATTGGAAATCCCAGCTAGCACCAGATGAAGTGACTAACTGAGGTGGTTCTCCTATTGGTAAACCATCCAGAAAAGCTTTCTTAATTGTTTGCTTTCCTGATATATACAGTATAAATAAATAGAATGAATGGAAAATAATTTTTTTGTATATTTCAATATGTCATTGATAGTGCAAAAAAGAAACAAAGAAAAAAAATAGGTTGACAACATTTCAAAACAGTAATACATATGCCACTCAAATGAACAAAACAAATAGAATAAACAAAAAATAATTTTTTTTTTACACAATTTGTTCATTACCTTCCTCTCCACCAAATGCCACCAACATATCCTGCAACTTCACCACCTGGTCTCCCCACTTCTTCTCCTCCTCCTTCAACTCTTCCTTTTCTTTTTCCAATTCCTTTACCTTATCTTCCCATTTTTTCTTCTCTTTTTCATCTTTCCATTCTTCATTAAATAATTTCTCCCCCAAATTGTTCAACTTCACTCCTTTGTACTTCCCCTCCTCACAATCTTCTAACCTCTTATCCGCCTTCTTGTACTCTTCTTCTACCATTTTTGATTTCCCTCTAATTTCTTCAATCATTGCCATTTTCTTGAGATTAAAAAAATTTAAAAATGAATTTTTAAAAATTTATTGATTTAGATTGTAATTGTTACAATTAAAATAATTTGGACCAATGATAAATTAGTGGGCACATGACTTGCAATTAAAAAAATTTTTTTTATGGATGAATTAAAAAGCATCTAGATCAAAAAGACTTTACAACAAAAAATTCGGCTGGTTGTTCCAATTAATAAATAAATTTAATGAAAAAACTAGCATGGTAACAGAAGAGAACGTCCTATATAAGGAATGGATTTTCACAATTGATTTCAATTTTTTTTATACAGTTTAAAATACTTTTACAA